TGCGGAAAGGTGACACACCACTGCCCCCCCGCACCCCCCAGATGGATTTTTTTACATCATCTACCTAGGAGAAGGGCAAGAATTTAACGTAGGGTTTTCTGGTTCAGGCTTTTGGGTGGGTTTTTTTTCAAGCTCAGCTCTGTAAGCAGAAAGATGATTCAGTTTGTCATGGCCTGGGGAACAGGAAACACCTCTCCCGGGGCGCAGGAAGTGCGGTCGCCCTGCTACATCTGCACAGCACTGCGCTGCTTGTCTTTTCTTGCCACCCACCCCCTTTTTTTTTTTTGGCTTTTCTGCTGATCTCAGGAGATTGATGGTGTAGAAGCAGACGGCAGCTTCTTGCCCAGCTGAGCTCCTCCTAGGGAGGCCGCTCTTGGCTTCGGAGCTCGTTCCTCCTCCCCCCACCTGCCCACCTTCTCGTGGGGGTTTGATTTGAACCCTGGAGAAGGCAGAACCTCCCCCTCCAAATGCCGGGTGGAATTTGGGGATTTGGAGATTAGAGCCAGCAGATTTGCAGCAGCCAGGTACTTAACCCCTGGGATGCTGGGCAGGGGGTGAGCGCCTGGTGGCAGTGGGCGCAGAGAGGGACAACCAGGTCTGTTCTGCCCCTGCTTTCGTGGTGGCTCGGGCTTTAAAACAGCCCAAGAGCGACCCCCACGCAGCCTGACAGCGATTTCACGGGGAGAAACCTCCCATTGCACCAGAGGTTTAAGGGTTTCTCGTCATCTTCTCTTTCTCCTCCACGAAAATCAGGAGAAGTCCTCCAGCCCCAGGCTCCACTCAACCCTTGGGTGAGGTGGGAGGGCGTTAGGCCAAGGACCAGCCCCAGGAGGAGCTGAGCTGCGGATACTCCTTGTCTGAGGCTCTGAAAGTGTAATATTCATTTCACAGCTGACCAAAGAGCTCGTTGGCGTAGGCTTGGACCGTGGAAGACCACTACGGACCAGCCCACACCTCATCCTCCAAGACATCTACACTTAAGGGGGTTCAGCATTTTGGGAGGGTCCCCCCCCAGCTGCTCCGAGGTCATCCCCCTCTCCCTGTGCAGCAGAGGTGGCCGTGGGCATAGCAGGGATGCCCAGGGCAGCCCCCTCCCACCCCTGGCCTTCTCTCTTTCACACCCCGGAGCATCACAACTTGCAGGATGTGGTGGGACATGCCAGGAAGCGATAGCAGGATGCGTCATCCCCCAACGGGGCCCTGCCAGGGCGCAGGGCCCTGGGAGGACAGGGATGGCCAGGTCCTACCTCGTCGGGTACCATGACGAGAGGGTATTTGTCTTCAGACAGAAAGTTGAAGAGACACCAGAGCTTGAAGGCATCTTGGTGGGATACGACGCTATTCCCGTTCCGGTCAGGCTTGTAATTCTTCTTGGCAGTCAGGGTCCAGCACAGCTCATCAAAGTTTTCTTTGACAAAAGCACCTTCCTCCACCTGCGGGCAGGAGTCAGGGGGGAGGAGGTAAGTGTGGTGCCGTGGGGGCTCCATGGAGGAAGCGCTCACAGCTGAAATCCCTGTCCCCGCGGTGAGAAGCATGGGCTGACTCACACGTGGGACCCCCAACTGGAGTGTCGGTGGGCGCTGACCCGTGATGCCAGTCTGTGTTCCCAGCACAGGACCCTTACGTGGGCAAGCGAGGTGGCCTGGCTGGTAGGGGAGAGGCTACGGGGCGGCTGCAGTGCCGGGGCCTTGTGGCATGGCTGTGGCGGCTCTGCCGTGTCATGGAATCCCAGACTGGGTTGGGTGGGAAGGGACCTTAAAGATCATCCAGTTCCAACCCCCCTGCCATGGGCAGGGACACCTTCCACTAGACCAGGTTGCTCCAAGCCTCATCCAGCCTGGCCTTGGACACTCCCAGGGATGGGGCATCCACAGCTTCTCTGGGCAACCTGTCCCAGGGCCTCCCCACCCTCTCCGGGAAGAATTCCTTCCTGATGTCCCATCTCCATCTCACTCTTCCTGTTTAACCCCGTTATCCCTTGTCCTGTCACTCCCTGCCCTTGGAAAAAGTCCCCCCCAGCTTCCTTGTAGCCCCCCCAGGCACTGGAAGGGGCTATAAGGTCTCCCCGGAGCCTTTCCTTCTCCAGGCTGAACCCCCCAACTCCCCCAGCCTGTCTCCATGGCAGAGGGGCGCCAGCCCTCGGAGCATCTCCGTGGCCTCCTCCCGACTCGCTCCCACAGCTCTGTGTCCGTCTGCTGTTGGGGGCTGGGGGCTCTGGAGCAGCAGCAGGAGCCCTGTGGTGCAGCACACAGCATTGTGTGGTGCTCCCCCAAGCCCACCCCGACACCTCCATGGCTCCGGGTCGCCCTCCTTGTCCCGTCCGACCATAAAGAGGAACGGGGGCTCAGCGATGGGAAGTGACAGACCACGGGTGGGCAGCAGCGGAGGCAGGAATGACACCTCCACCAAGCTCAGCCCCTGACGCCTGTCCACGAGCCTCTGTCACCTCCTGCCCAGCCTCGTCGGCTGCCTCAGGCAGCGGGTTTGGTGCGGTACCAGAGACCTGCGACAGGGCCCAGAGAGCCCAGCTGCGGCACAAGGGCAAACCCCAGCTGGCAGCGGCAGGGCCGGAGCAAAACCTTCGGGAGGTGGGAAGCTGAAAGCCCCTCTTACTAGGAAAACCCACTTCCCTTTCTCAGGTCGCCTCTGGGATTTTATTAGCCATGGCGAAACCGGAAGAAGGGGGTTTAAACGTCTTCTCCCAAAGAACCACATGGAAATCTGGAAGGATTTGGGGCACTCCGTGATGAGGAGATGGGGCTGAGCTGACTTTGGGCAGAGGGAGCTGGGGAAGGCTCTGCCCTTGCTCGCTGCAGACCAGAGCCCTCAAGAGCAGCATCCCTGGACCAGTCTGGGCGGCTTCTGAGCAGCCCGGGGCCAGGCAAGGATGGGCACGGAGCTCCGCACACCCGGAGAGGCCCGGCTTGGCCCTGGGGAAGCGGCAGGGGCGGGAAGGGTTACTGAGCCCAGCGCCGGGCCGAGCAGACGGTGGAAGAAAGTTGTCAGGCGTTTTTTCCTCTCCTCACGTGCCTGGAGGAAACACGCATCCCGCCCAACCGCTGCTGAGCCAAAGGTGCTTTTGAGCCACGGGAAAAAGGGAGAAACCCCCTGCCCACCCCCACCTCTGCTCCTGCCCCGGCACCTCATCCTCCCTCTCCTGGTGTCAAATGAGGTCACACCCCAAATTTCAACAGGGCTGGAGGGAAAAAGGGGCTGATTTCTCTCTCTGAGCCCTCAAGGAACTGCGGGCGGAGAGGCCCCTCCATCCAGAGCCTCGATGGGAATGGCTGGCCTCATCCTTGCCAAGGAGATGTTGGATATTAGACATTTCCCACTTGTTTGGACATTTTATTGAGCGTTCCCCAACTCCCTGTGTCCTTTTTCCACCCATCAAGACAGGGAATTCCCAAGAGCAGAGGGGAGCGGAGCCATGGGGCTCCCATGGGATGCAGGAGCGGACCAAGGACCGTGGTGGATAAGGGGGGGGATGCTCACCTTATCCAGGATGTACTTGTTGAGGTACGGCATGTAGCCCTGGCTGGACACCGGCCCGTCGTCGTCATCCCGGAAATGCTCTTCCAGCGCCACGGGATCGTGGGGGATGCACAGCACCGTGTACAGGTTGTGAGACAGGACCTGCCCGAGCACGAGGGATGGGGAGAAGGTGAACGACCTCCGACCCTGCCCAGCCCACCCCCACGGTATCACCCAGCCCTGGCGTCACCTCCCCGCAGAGGCGAGGCATCCTTTGGGTTTGGCAGAGGGAATATTCCCTCGTATAAACCTCAGAGAATCGTTCAGAAACGTGCCAAAATTTTGTTTGTTTTTTTTTTTTTTCCACATTCGTCTCTTTTCTTTCTTGGCACGTGGAGAACGTTGGGGTTTGGTTTTACCCAAAGAGCGAACAGGACATGCTTTGATCTCGAGGCGATGATACGCCCCCCCAAGCCATGCTGTTC